CCCGGCAGAGATGGCCGGTGGGCACCAGAAGCCACGACAGACCTTGCTGGCCGACTTGGAGCAGAAGATCCCCACCAACTATGAGGTCATCGGCACAGCCACCAGCTCCTCTGCTGTCCCCGATGTAACCTTCAGTGCCGCGATGGCGAGTAGTGGCTATGAGCAGTACAAGGTGCCCGAGGCCCGGCCAGCTGAGAGAGCCAGCACGGTGCAGGGCCCCTCAGCCAGCTTCTCCTCCGAGTCCCTCTACACCAGCCTGGAGCAGAACATCCCCCGTAACTACGTGATGATTGAGGACATTAGCGAGCTCACGAAGGAGAGCCCAGTGGTGGAGGGGCAGAAAGCGGAGCAGGCAGGCACGGGCGCCGACAGCCCCCACAGCAGAGAGAAGAGTGAGCTGGGGGATGCCGAAGGCTCTGGCCGGCCCTGCTGCTACACTAGAGCCGAGGAGGAGTCTGAGGAGGACGTCTACGACCACCATGGCCCCGACCATCGAGGGAAGAACGGCTACCACCGGGGCGCGGAGAGCAACGGCAGGGTGTCAGGGAGCTCCGCCAGCTCATCCTACTACTACGGGGACAGCGAGTACCGGCACCCCTCACGGACAGACAAGCACAGCTCCAGTGCGGCACTGCCAAAGCATTCGTCCAAGAACCTGGCGCCCGCCGTCGTCTCCTCGAAGCGCAGCAAGCACAGGAAGCAGGGCATGGAGCAGAAGATCTCCAAGTTCTCCCCCATCGAAGAAGCAAAAGATGTGGAGTCAGACCTAGCCTCCTATGCAGCGACGACCTCAGTTGGCAGCAGCAATGTGGCCTCCAGGGCCAAGAAGCTGCAGGAGGAGATCACCTATGGCCTGAAGAAGAACGTCTATGAGCAGCAGAAGTACTATGGCATCTCCAGCCGGGATCTGGTGGATGAGGAGGAGCGGGTCTACTCTTCTGGCAGCAGAACTCGCTCCTCTGTCTATGGGGTGGAAAAGTCCTCCAGCCGGGAGGCGGGTGGCCGGAGCAAGTCCTATGAGCGGGAGGGTGTGGACGCCCCCAGA